GACAGCAATTAATGTTTCTAACATATAAAGTGAGAAAAACATCAATGCTCTGTATTTATGTGGGTACACAGACAATTCACCAAAGAGGAAATAAAAATAGGCAATATAAATTGAAAAAAATTTTAACCAAATTACTGTTCAAAGAAATGAGAATTAAAGACACCATTCTCTACCTACTCAATAAGTATACTTTTAAAACTGTGAATACCCAATGCTGGTGACAGGCAATGAAAATGCATACTCAGATAAGGGGTCTATGTGATACAACCTCCTAGATGTGAGCTAAAATTCTTTGAGAACTTTTCCTGAGGAAATCTTTCAAAATACCAAGGCTTTCTTCGGTAGCAGTATTATTGATAATAGAAAAATCATCTTTTATCAAAGTATGTCTTGAGAGATGGTTGTATAATTAATCATCATCGTTAATGTTAATTCAGCATTCACCTTGATCCAGGGAATCCTGTCCACTAAGTTCCTTGACAACCCTTTGATGTTAAGCCCTTTATCATCCCCATTTTACAGAACCTCAGAACACATTGCCCTAGTCACACCCCACCACTGGGAATGGTAGAGATAGATTCCATCTTGCCTCTGTCCAACCCCCGAGGTCATCTTCCAGGAACATCTTCCATGTTCCAGTTAGAAACAATAATAATCATGAGGGTGTTTTGTTTTGTTTAAGTAGGCTTCATGCCCAGTGTGGAGCCCAATGAGGGGTTTGAACCCACAACCCTGAGATCAAGACCTGAGCTGAGACCAAGAGTCAAAGACTTAACCAACTGAGCAACCCAGGTGCCCCCACGAGGGTGTTTTTAACAAAGCGTAGACATGTTTATAATATGATGCTAAATGAAAAATGAGGATCTAGAATCACTTTATGATTTTAAGTGGGAAGAATATAAAATTGTTGCAAAATGCAGCATGCAGAGAAGGAAATAATCAGAGAATAATCAGAGAAGGCAGGAGTTTAGGGAGAGAAGGTGGACAGAGAGGCCATGGAAGCAGTGCAGACATGAGGGGTGAGGAGTGGGAGTGGGGTGGAGGGCCACTTTTTGCTCCTGAGGGCACTGCTGCCATTGGCTGAGCTCCTCCAGGCTCCCAAAGGGGGCCTGGACTATGCAGAGACCACCATCTGGGACAGTCCATGAAGGCACGAGGGGTCTACAGGACCCTAGGTCTCTGTCAACCAGAGCTCCCTGCCCCTTACTCCTTTACCCACTGGGGAAGTTAAAGGCACAATGTCCTCCAATTTGGACAAAGAGCCAGTGGCACCTGTTCTGAGGGTTGAAGTCAGATGAGCTGCAAAGGTCAAGGGAGCCAGAGAGGACATCTCAGGACCCCACAGTGTGCTCCGGAATGGCAGCAGAGGGCTTGAGATTGGTGACAGCCTTCCCTCCAAACTCACAGCCTCCATTGTGGAGGGCTTTGTTACCAACAGGGAGACCAAGGCAAGGAGAGGTCAATTCACTAGTCTGAATTGTGAATTCACTGGCTGTTTGTCAAAGGGTGTTCTGCCCATCATCGCAAACCCCTGTACCCCTCCTAGGCCCCCAGAGCAGGGCCGAGTGATGCGAAGATTCATGCTGTCTCTGGGAGCACCAAGAAAGGGCACCGGGAGGTGCTCTGTGATCAGACTCTACAAACATCTGCTACACTGGAGGAAAACAAAGCCAAAAGATAGAAGGAACGTTGTTTTTCATTTCCTCTGAAATGAAATTGGCTCCTAGGAGCTTCCCAAACCCCAATCCCCAGGAATCTGGAGCCTAAATTTAGATTGCCCTTGGAAGGTCACTGGATCACCCTGGCGCAGGGTCAGTCGGCAGCTGCTCAAGATAAACTTGGCTTTTCTGCTGACTCAGGCCTTTCCCTCACACAATTAATGAGATCCTGCCGCACTTCCCCTGGGAAAGAAGAACAATAGCTGTAGATGAGCAGGTGGCCTTGGCTGGCACGCTGGCCTGGGAGCCCCTTCTCCAGAGATCAGGGAGTCATGGCCCTGCCCAGCCCTAGACCCTTCTGACCTCAGCTGGCAGGCCCTTGCCCACTGTCTTGCCCCAGCCTCATGGAGCTCCATGTGCCCCCCAGTCATCGTGCCCCTTCCCACCTCCGGACTCTTGCATGGAACCTCTTTCCTGGACCTTGGTTGAACTCTCACCTCCTCAGAGAGGGCTCTAACACTCTGTATCACCTTGCCATCTCCCTACCCCATGGCCATGGGCACACCTGAAAAGGCCCTACGCAATTAGTGGTTTAGGGCAGGAGTTGGCTGGGCGTGTCCTCCACCCAGAGACAGTGCTCAGTGCGAAGCAGGAGGTCAGGAGACCACCATGAGTGGAAGGAAGGGCAGGCACATCCTCAAGCCCCTCCTAGGTCTGGGCTGGGCTTCTCTGCAGTGGCTCGGGTTCCACTGCAGGCCTGGGCCACAACCAACACAGTTGTGTTGGGGTAGAAATCAGATTGTGATAGGTGGAGACTAAGGCCTTTCCGTCAAGTTCCCAAAATACTGTGAAGCTGTCCCCAAAGAGATAGAGGCTTGCTGAGGTCACCCCGAGGTGCCAGCCTGGGGGTGACCCTGGGATAGGCCCTAGGTGGTGGAGGGATGGGGGCCGGTGGGCAGGTAAAGGGGGAAGTCCTCGTGCTGGCTGCAGCTCCAAGCTGGCTAGAAGGGATGGCACAGCCAGAGGTCAGCCGTGAATCACAGGAAGCCCCTCGCCAGGGGCAGATGCGTGAAGATGGCCCCTGTGTGGAAACTCCTTCCTGGGTAGTGTTGGGGAAAACCAGGAAGTGGACGGACAGTTCCAACTTGGACCTCTGAGAGCAAGGCTGGGGGACGAGGGCAGAAAGGCATCCAAGAGCAAGTGATCTCAGCAGCACAACTTAGATGAGCAGCCTCCACCTGAGGGACACACTGCAGGCAGAAGAGGCCATGGGTGAGAGCCAGACCAGCCTGAGGCCCAGAGAAAGGCAAGTCTGGAGAGAGCATGGAGTGTGTGCTGCTGGACTGGCCAGGCCCAAGGCAGGCAGGCAGGCAGATGTCACCCTGGGCAGCTCCCAGGAGTCAGCACTTTGTCCATGGGCAGTGCGAACCATGATGCAGGTTTCAGGCAGAGTGTGACTCAGGAGAGGGGCCTGCCAGAATGGCCTACCTGCCCTGAGGAGAATAGCCTCAGTGGGCAAGGATGGGGCCCAGCTGGCCTGAGGAGGCTACAGTAGTCGTCCTGGGAAGAGAGCAGTGTGGAGTGTGGTGGGAGACCTCGGGTAAGGTCCCTGGACTCAGGCCAGGAGGGAGCAGGATTGGGAGGGTTGTGTGGGTGGTACGGCTGAGCCCGCTGGAGTGGACAAGAGGAGGAGACGTCCACGAAGGTGGAGGGAGAATGACCAAGGTGTTTGCAGCAGGAGGGAAACAGTGAGGTGATGGTTGGGAGGAGCCAGTGGTCCCCAGAGCCCCATCCTGTGCAGGGATCAAGGAGGCTGGAGGCTGAGGAAAGGGGTGAAACTTCCACCCTCCCCCCACCTTCACACTCAGGGCCCAGCAAACTTGCCCTGGGTGCCTCCCCATGCTGGATGAACAGGGTGTTGGCCTTATCTCAGAGCCATAGGCAGAGGGAGAAGGAATCGGGTCCCAGGAGGGACAGATTTATCAAAACTCCTAGGCTGTGGTTGACCTCGATGTCAGACCTTCTCTGTGGAGGGCCCTGTCTAGCAGAGCCAAGCACCTTGGACCGGAGGAAAGAACCAGGGTCCCAGCCACCTCAGTCCAAGACAGGGTACAGACTTTACTGGAAACAAAAGGGCTGATGGGGAGTGGGGAGGGAGCTGCTAGAACAGGGCTGGTGCCCCATGGGGTTCTGGGCTGCAGGGTCTGGTGCCCCCACCTGAGTCTCAGGGGGGCTCAATGTCCATCCCAGCGGGCCTTTCGAGAAACGGCTGGGCCATTGTGCAGAAGAATGCCCGGAAATCCCGAGCCTCCTGCCTCCAGCGAGGATGGGGGCTCTTCCTTCTGGCCAGGAAACTCCAAGTTGGCTTCCGGAGGGTGGCCTAGGGCCTGGGGTGCCAGGAGTCCCACTGCCACTGGTGGGAGGGCAGAGCACAGCACCTCGGTGTCCCTTTGTGTTTCTCCTCTCTGAGGGCTGGAGTAGGCCCCCAAGCTTGGGGCCACGGGCTGCTCTGAGGAGGACAGCCAGTTTGTCGAGTCAGTGGAGAACACTGGGGACTTCCCGAAGTGGTGTCGCCTGAGCTGGGCCTCAAAGGATGGGGGGATGGGAAGCATCTCAGGAAGAAGAGCAGCAGTGCAGAGGTTGAGAGGTCTGGGAAGTCCCGGCGGCAGGGTGCAGAGTGAGGGTCTCCGGAGGTGGTGGTAAGGCCCCTGTTCCACCTGCTTCCTGTTGGGGCCTCAGACCCCAGCGAGGCGGTGATCGGCTGGGCAGTGGCGCTGGTCAGGACCGCGGGCTGGAGATTTCAGCCTGACCCGCACAGCTGGCCTCTTGGCCTCTGGGAGACATAATGCCAGGACTCAGAGGGGAACCGCGCAGTAAGGGCGCGGGGAAGGGGTCAGGGATGGGATTGGACTCCAGGGCGAGATTCCTGTAGTAATAGGCCGAGCTGTGCTTGGCTAACCCAGGAAAAGGGGCCCAAGAGTCCTTCAGGCAAACCTCCGCGCGACGGTGATGGTGGGGGGCTCCCGCAAACCTTAGCCAGGCAAGAGCGGAGCTGGCCTGGGTGGTAAAGACCTTCACTCTCTTCAACTCCGGGATGTAGCGGGGGAAGTTGGTGCAGTCATGCGGCTCCTGAAATGGAGAGGCTGGGACACAGGGAGGTGGCCCGGGGAGCGCGCGCCCAGCCACCCCAGGTCAGTCCGGAACGAGCTCTAGACAACAGCGGGTGAAGGGCTCGGGGCGGCGGCCGGGCAGGGAGCGGTCCCGGGGCCCTCGGCTACCCGCCCAGGCCAGCGGTTTCCCTAACTCCAGCTGCCGGGGGCGCCTGTGATTGGCTAAGGGCCGATGGCCGGCGCGCGGATTGGCTGTTCGGGGATCAGGGGCCGGGCCCGCGGGGCAGAGTCCGCCCCCGAACCTTCAAATAGGAAGCCCCCGATAGGCTCCCGCAGATCCGAGGCTGTGCTGCAGACTTGCTGGGGCCGGGGACAGGAGGCGGTGAGCCGAGCGCCGGGGCGCAGAGGCACCAGGGCCCGTTCAGGGCGCCAAGCCGCTCCACCGAGGCACCGCCGCGCCCCGCCCGGAGGCTCGGGGCCGTCGGGCGCCCGTCTCGCCTCCAGCCATGGGGTCGGCGGCGCTGGAGATCCTCGGCCTGGTGCTGTGCCTGGTGGGCTGGGTGGGCCTGATCCTGGCGTGCGGGTTGCCCATGTGGCAGGTGACTGCCTTCCTGGACCACAACATCGTGACGGCGCAGACCACCTGGAAGGGGCTGTGGATGTCGTGCGTGGTGCAGAGCACCGGGCACATGCAGTGCAAGGTGTACGACTCGGTGCTGGCGCTGAGCACCGAGGTGCAGGCGGCGCGGGCGCTCACCGTGGGCGCAGTGCTGCTGGCGCTCGTCGCGCTCTTCGTGACCCTGGCGGGCGCTCAGTGCACCACCTGCGTGGCCCCCGGCCCGGCCAAGGCGCGGGTGGCCCTCACGGGCGGCGCGCTCTACGCACTCTGCGGGCTGCTGGCGCTCGTGCCGCTCTGCTGGTTCGCCAACATCGTGGTCCGCGAGTTCTACGACCCGACGGTGCCCATGTCGCAGAAGTATGAGCTGGGCGCGGCGCTGTACATCGGCTGGGCGGCTTCCGCGCTGCTCATGTGCGGCGGCGGCCTCGTGTGCTGCGGCGCCTGGGTCTGCGCTGGCCGCCCCGACTTCAGCTTCCCAGTCAAGTACTCCGCGTCGCGGCGGCCCACGGCCACCGGCGACTATGACAAGAAGAACTACGTCTGAGGGCGCCAGACTCGGCGGGGCCCCTCGCGCTAGCCACTCCCATGAGCCGGACGACTGGCTAGGGAAGCCCCGCATGCACGGAGGAACGACCGGCTCTGTGCCTGGACGTGGCGCACCGACTGACTTGAGACCCTGCTCGCGCCCGCAGCCCGTTCTCTCCAATAGCCACTAGCCGGGCCCTGGGCCGCGCCCTGCCCTGAACAGGAGCCACGCACTTGGGAGAACTTGCTGGGTTTCTTTTTCTGTGCGCAGAGCTTGCTCTGATGAGGGTGGGGCGCGTGTCCCTTTGGCTGAGTGGACAATGGACTGAAACGCCAATTCCCTCCTGGACCCTCAGGGTTTTGGATGCCGTCATCCTCCCCAGCGGCTCCAGCTGATTCCAGCGGGGCAGACCGAGAGCCCAGGGGCCCCAACCTGGGCTGCCAGAGGGATGTATACAGCTGGCCTTTACCGCATCAGTGGGGCCTGAGCCCAGGGGGACTAAAAGACTTGGCCTGGACCTCCCTGCCTCACCCCAGGAGCTCCCCAGGAGATGCTTATGGGCACCAGATCCTGAGTGTGGAGCTGGGGCCCTGCCCTCCTTTGCAGCTTGTGGGGAGGGTAAGAGTTTGCTTAGTAAATGGTTTGAATACCCTCCCACCTGTGTCCTGTCCTCTGTCCAGTCACCACTTGTGCCCAGCAGCCCCCTTCATCCACCCGCCCACCAACTGCTCCCTGAAAGCCTTTTTCTGAGACCTCCCAGGACTCCCCCTGTGTTCCAGAAGGTTCATGGCCTGATCCCTGGCCCTCCCTGCCATCCAGTCACCTTCCTACTGGGTGGGAAGCACAGCTACAGTTTGCGGCAACCCAGGAAGGTGAGATCTGTAGTCAGAAGAGCCTGGGGAGAGGACGACACAGACCCCAGGAGAGGATGCAGGTTGGAAATCCACCCCCCATCACCCAGCCACTAGCCACTGTGGAGTCTTTGGATGCAGGAAGTGCTGAGGGTGGGCTGCCAGGCTGCTGGCTTTGAGAAGAGGCTGGCTCCATGCACCACAGGTTGGGTGTTTTCCCCCTGCCCTCTCAGGGCTTGCCTATCTGTGGCTTGCACCAAATGGCCAGACATCTGTAAAACACTGACTAGGACCTTCCGGCTAACGGTGCAGCAGGAACAGGGGCGAATCCAGGATGTGTGCTGGGCTCCAGCGGAGCTAGCAGCGGGCCACAAGCACGTTGCTATGGGAAGGAGGCACTTGTGCAGGTTGCCTAGAGTGCCTGGGCAGGGCTCCAGCCCCTTGGTCCTGGCTCTTCTGCTAGTCTCAGCATAGCTCTGTGCAGGGCCTGTGCTCATCTTGCTGGCCTGGCAGCCAGCCCAGACTTGTGCTGACCATTAGCACCTCCGTGTCACAGGCTGCTGGAAGTGCCCTGTGTCACCTTCCTCCCACATGAGTGGGGCCCCCGGGAGCCAGTGCTGGCCTGGGCCAGGAACCTGGGTGTTAGGGGTCACAGGAGAGCAGGGCACACCAGAGCTATGTTAGTCACTGAGAGCTCATTGCTTCCAGCCCCATTCTAGGCACTCTGAATTAATGCAGTTTTACTTTCTGCCAAAGGCTAGGACAAAAGAGAGCTGTGGCTGGAGGTGGGGCCTGTCGGGAGGAGCTCCAAACCCAGCCAGCAGGGCTTGGCATCTGCCCCCAAACCTGGCCTTGGGGGCCCTGTCCAGAAATGCTTGGGCCAAATCCAGTGGCAAGGAGTCTCCCAGGCCTGGCCAGGCTCCCCACGGTGAGGAAGGGGAGGAGCCTGAGGACATGGGCTCAGGACGGCTGCAATGAACACTGCCCTGAATCCCAGGAGTTGCAGCAGAGCCAGGGAGTTGGACTTCAAGGGAGGATGAACTATCCCATAGCCTGAGCTCCTCGCAATGGGATGAGCTGCAGCGAGACGGGTCCCATGGCACAGAGGTCCTCAGCAGCCCCTCATGGCAGCCCCCCTCAGGCCTGTGCAGCAGGGCTCACGAACGGCCCTCAAGTGCAAGAGTGTGTGATCTTGGGGCCTTGGTGGGGCTGCTGGAACAAAGGTCCTGAGGCCAGCCAGGCTGGTGTTTGGCCAGGAGCACACATCCAAGGCTGCATCCCACACGAACCCAGAGCTCTCCAGTTCCTTCAGGCTCCAGGAATCAGCAGGATTCCGAAGGGAAGCTGCACAGTCCCAAAGATGCAAATGGTCAAGCTGGGCAGCTTTAGGGCCCTGGGGAGTCAGGCTGCTGCTGCCTGACTCATGCCAGGAAGGCCAGGGGCACACTCCATTTGCCAGAGGTCAGGCAAGAGGAGCTGACCTCCAGTGCAGCCAACCCCACTGTGCCCACTACCCTTTCCCAAGGGCCACGCTGCGACCTGGACCCACCCATCTGTCTCCTCAGTTCCAGGCCACTGTTTCTGGGCTTTTTACCAGCTTAAAGCCTACCCAAACCACTCTGCTTCCTCCTGCCCAAGGCCCCAGGTGCCACACCCAGATGGCCGTGTCGCTCCAGCCTACCTGCTTCCCTGGCATCCCTACTCCAGGCAGAGCAGCCAGATGGCCTCAACCACCTGTGTGAACAGCTCTCTCCTCCCCAAAGGGCAGGAATGGCATCCTCCTTGCCTCCAGATCCTCTCAACCCTCGCAGGGGCTCTGGGGACATCTGGGAGAGTGGAACCAGCTGATCGCACACCTCCCCTGAGAACTGCTGTTCTGAAGACTTTGAAAGTTGCCAAGGTTCTGTCCAGTTTTAACCTTCTGTGACCAGGATGTGGTGAAGCCATCTCCCTCTGGGGCCCCTCAGCCACCTTGCCCTTGCTATCGGCCCAACTCTCCCAGTAGCCTGGGGGTACAGTGTGCCTGTGGGGATGGGGAGGGTACTGGGACAGGAGGCACAGTCAAGAGGGTGGGCTTGAGCTGCTGCCAGGGCCAGGTGGACAGGAATAAGTGGTGGGAGGGCAGAGCCAGGTACCGGATGGCATCACTGGGCAGTGGTTGGTGCAGGAGCCGTGCGGAGGGCCACGTGCTGAGGTGCCCGGCCTCCACCCACTGCTCTCCCAGGAGCCTGGAGGCCGCGCCCCATGCTTATTTACTGCTGGGCCTCAAGGTCGCCCAGGGCACAGGAAAAGGCTCCTCTGCACCCACAGAAACCTCAGGACAAAAACAAGTGTTGGCCCTATGACCACAGCCAAGACTGAGGCACCAAAACTAAAACGAACATTTTATTCCATTAAAAACCAACTGTCCCTGCATCTAAAACTATGTCCATAACTTACAGTCTAAATAAAACCCAGTTAATATAAATAAGGAGGAGGTCATGTCTGCAGAGATCAAACTCTAGAGAAGAAAGAAAAGAAAAAATAAGTAAATTTCAACAATTCTGATGTCTCTCTGAATTAAACAAATAAAGTGTCCAGGCCCTCCCTCTGACATGCTGGGCTTGCTTCTGAGTAGCTGTCACCACTCACAGGGGAGAGGGGTGGTGACCATGGGTAGAGGGCCACCCCAGAACCACTGAGGTGGCCCACCGGCCTCACTGCACCCCGCTGGCTGGGTCCAGGCTGTCATTTGCTTGAGAACCCCTAGGGCCTCATGGCCCTCCACTACCATATCACCTTGCAGAACCTGCCTCAGCCCCATGGGGCCCTCACGAGGCTTTTCCCCTTGCCTGGAGCATCTCCCCTAAACTGCTCCTCCCCCTGCCCAGCTGGCCCACCCTGCACCGTCTTGGTGGCAGGACACACAGCAGTGCTGGTGTCATCTCTGAGCAGGCTGCAGGGAAGGGCTAGGCCTCAAACACCAGCCCCCTGCCCGAGAGCCCCTGCCTGTAACCTTTGATTTGGGTCATAAACTTACACCCTGCCCCCATCCTAAGGCTCAGCACTCACTGTCCAAGGGGTGTCAGCCCTGTTTCAGTTGAGGAAACAGCCACAGCCTGGTGAAGTACCCAACACACCTTGCTGAAGACCCAAAGGGTCTGAGCCCAAAGCTTCACCCCAACACGAGCCCTATATGCCCTAGCCGACCCTGAAAGAGGGACTTTGGATCCCTGAGGTCCCCTATACCATTCCCAGCAGAGCCCACTGAGGCCCCAACAGGGGAAGGGCACCTGCCCCCCACACCTTCCAGCTCACTATGGACGGTAGGGGAGTGGGAGGACCCTGGGCTGGCATGAGGGGACCCTCTACATCAGAGCCTTGATAGGGCCGGTCTGCCTCAGCAGCGGCTCCAGCCCAGGGCTCAAGGAGATGCAGGGCTGGGTGTGGGCATCCACCATGTATGTGTGTGTGGGGGGCCTGGGCTGAGAAATGGGCACTAGGTAGAGAACAGGCCCCCCGGCTCATTTGCTGAGGGGCCCTTCAAGAAAGAGCTGGTATGTGTGGCACTGGGAAGAGCCCTGGCCGGGGAGCATCGCTGTGGACCACCAGTGACGGCCTCACGCTCAGGCAAGGCCCACAGAGACGACATTTTCTAGTTATTAGCCATGTGGCTGCCAACAGCTTTGTTTTCTCCTAAGTCAAGCACGCAAGAGTCTGGGTAGAAGCCTCTGTGGGCTCTAGCCCAGGGCCTGATCTAAGGCTGCAAAGGGTGGCAAGGCTCCAGGGCCCGCGCCCCCGCCAAGGGTCGCCTCCTTTCCCAGCAGTGCCAGGAGGCATGCGTGTCACTCGTAATGCCCAGCCCACAGCGCGGTCAGGACAGGGTAAATGCTAGCCCTTGCTGAAGGGGTCCCAGGAGCTTAATGAAATTAGCTTCTTCAAAAATGCCCCATTGTGGCACCGCCGCCAGCCCAGGCACAGACACCCTTGGGAAAAACCCCAAATCTCCTCAGGAGCCCTGCTTCGGTCTGAAATGCAAGCAGAAGCCTTGGCTTGAGGAGGGAAAAAGCAGGGAAAGCAAAGCAGGGAACGAGGGGCCCTCTTTACACTTCAGCAGGGCCAGCTTTGTGGCAGTGCCCCCGTGCCCCCCTGAAGTGCCCACTGGAACTCTCCAGCACCCCACCCCTCCCCCACATCTCACCCTCAGGACAGGAGGGAAACAAGTGCATCCAGAAACTTGCTCCGATCCTCTGCTTTCAGTTCAATTACTGAGGTAATGAAAGAAAAACATCTCGTGAGGTGGAGGAGTGGGGCTGAGAGTGAGGCGCAGGAGGAGAAACAAGTCAGGGTGTATTAACTCCCTCTTCCCGGTCATCCAAGATGGGAACCACCCTCCAGCACATTCCAAAATGTACTCAGCCCCTTGGCGGCCTGGAATATTCTGAACTCAGAGGCTCTATTTCTCTGTCCTCTGTATTTAGTCCACAGAAACTGCTGGTTGCCCTGTTAGTGAGGCTGGCTGGGGTTACAGTCTGTGGGGAGGACCCTCCAGGCCGCTAGAGGACCAGCAGTGACAGCCAGTGGAGAGGACACAGGGATGTGATGGTTTAGAACAGATCCAGGCAAAGACAGGCCTTCCCTCCCTGGTGGACACAGAGCCCTGCCCCATCGTGGGTTGCCTGGGGCCCTGAGGTCGGGCAGGAGGCTAGCCTGAAGTTTTGCTCTGGCCAGTCTCTCTGTAGAAGGGAAACACGACGTGAACTGCCCCCATTTCCAAGGGCCCTCATCAAACAGGGCAAAACCAGGCCAGCCTGGTCCTAGGAG